ATGGGAACCTTCTAATGGGACGTCCAAAAAAGGAAAGTGGGAACCTTCTAACGGGACGGAGAGAGTATGTTTTAGTTCCCTATTTATTAGATTTTCCAGTTATTATATCCATATTGATGTTTCTGCTTCACTTTCCTCTTACAAGTTTGATGCCTCTAAACTGAGAAAGCTTAGACCCAGTTTTAGAGAAGGAGGTACTGTTACTGCAGGCAATGCTTCTATAATAAGGTTCTCTCACTCACTCTGCACATATTGTCAGGTTCTCTTTTCCCAATATAATGATAGTGATGCTTATTCATCATCAATAATAGTGATGGAGCTGCTGCTGTGGTTCTGGTTAGCGGGAAAAAGGTGCTTGATCTTGGGTTGCGAGTAATTGCCAAGATCAGAGGATATGCAGATGCTGCTCAGGTTCTATACGATCTTTATTTATTTGTAAATACATACCTGATTATGAAGCCTCCTATTATACTGCACCTAACAATATCAAACTGGGACAGGCACCTGAGTTGTTTCCGACTGCTCCAGCACTTGCAATACCAAAAGCAATTAAAAATTCTGGTCTGAAGGCCTCTGATGTCGATTACTATGAGATAAATGAGGCATTCTCTGTATGGATCAACTTCTGAGTAATAAATGGTGTACATTATACATATTGAGGGCGTGTGTATTCCTGTTTCATGTTTTGCCATTCAACATTCTTTTTTATGTCTTATAATTTATTCTTTGGAGAACATGTTTACGAAAGCATATTTTCCAATGTCATGATGGTGGTAAATATGTAAACATGAAAGCTGGAAAACATTCTCCTGAGAGCTAGTGGACACGAAGTAATAACATATTTTGTTTTACGGATTCTACACTTGGAGAACGAGTGAAGAAAATATATCTCCCGTTTTCCAGTTTTTCTCAGAAATCTAAACCTTTTGCAGTTTTTCAGATTTGAACGTTGCACTATGCACTTAATAACCTTTTTATATTCCCATTGTTGCAGGTTGTAGCCCTTGCCAACCAAAGACTGCTCAATATTGATGTTGTGAGTTCAAGAGTGGCCTAAAGTCTTTGCCTCTTTTAGCATCTTCAAATTAAAAGATTTTCTACGTTAAGAATGATTGTTCTAGCTTTGATCCGTCCTTGCTCTTTTCTGTATTCAGGATAAACTGAACGTGCATGGAGGAGCCGTGTCTCTGGGACATCCATTGGGGTGCAGTGGGGCTAGGATCTTGGTCACTTTGCTAGGGGTATGTATCAGTGTCGGTAGTAGTAGACTAATAGTCATAGTCATAATAATCACAACAAGAATAATAATAACAACATCAACAACCGCAACAATAATAATGATGGTAATACTAATACTAATAATAATGGTAATTAAAATGATGATGGTGAATGACGATGATGTTAAAATTGGCAACAATGATTATAGTAGTAATAGTAATACTCCCTATTATTTATAATAGTAAGGATAGTAAATTAGTAATATTTGTGTATACAACCAACTCAAGTGAACTCCTCTTACTTCCCAAAATAAATTTAAGTCTTAATACAAGTTGCAGGAACAAGTGCATGTGAAAATAGTCACATTATAAATTTAGAGCTCAAAACATCAATAGCGGCACACCACACACAGAATAACATGTGTTAAACACTTCTAATCGCAGGTGCTGAGGGAAAAGAATGGAAAAGTTGGGGTTGCTGGAGTCTGCAATGGAGGAGGAGGAGCTTCTGCCCTAGTTGTTGAGATCATGTAAGCTTTTTGCGATTTTACCCATCTGTTCGTTTCTTCATAATTGGCTCTGTTTTTTATTCAGTGTCAAAGTTTATTTAGATGATTTCTCTTGAAACATGGTTGTAAATTGAATGAAAAGAACTTGTCAATGAAGGAGAGTCACTAAGTATTGAACACTCTGTTCTAAAAATCGTTCTAGACGTCCGACTAGTCCCCACCTAGGCACTAGGCGGTGGCCGGGCGCTCCGATTTTCGTCTAGGTGAATTAGTCGGCCGCCTATTTGCCCGCCTAGAGCGCCTAATCGACCGTCTAGGCCGTCTAGATTCGCCAAACATTACTTTATTTTTTTAATTTAAATTTTCTAAGCGATATACGTACTTTAGCTTTAGCTATGGATATAATGAAATGAAGTTGTAAATTAAGATATGTTTCTATATATGCCTAAATTTCATCATTATTTATATTTATAACATAATGAAGTTAAGTGATTAGTTATCATATACTACGTATGATTAAATGTGACAATTCTATCATTCATGTTTGTTAATGTATATGTATATATGTAGTTTATACACACAAAAATACGATATTATTTATCATATTTATGCAAAAATATAGATAAAAATGTAATTTCTTTGTCTCCGACTAGTCCCCGACTAGCCTAGCCTAGCCGCCTAGGCGCTGGGCTAGCGCCTAGCGCCTTTTAGAACATTGATTGAACATTGTTCGAAATGTCAATAAGCTGCAATGTGTTTTGCTCATTGTAGGCCTGAAGCAAAGATGACACGACCCAAGCTGTAGAAACTCGAAGTCATGCCTATGCTACAAACATACATGGCTTACTGGTCATCTTTTCCTATGTTTTGTTTACCTCAAATATAATAAAAGGTACTCGGTTGGTGTTTTTGGGTTGATGGTTGAAATATGAATGAATAACATACAGGGTTTGCATATTCATTTCCTTCACACTCATCTCACTTTGGCTTGATTTGTACTTGAGAATTGAGATGACTTAGTGGCATGTCTATTCTACTTGGACTATATTTGGGTTCGAGAAAATGTTAGGGAAATGAGAGTTATAGAAGTGGATTTTATGCTATACGTAAATGAGTATAACCTTAAAATGAAATGAGCAATATAATGGTACGATATCATAAAATGAACGCAACAAAAATGTTAGATGAGCATAAAATAATGAATATTAATGAATGATTAAGTTGGTTTTGATAAATGCATTATATTTATAGAAACGAGTTTGATGTTATAATAAAACTCAATGCATTCTAATTGGATGATTAATAAATCTTTTATAAAATAGTTACTCTACATTTCCGAAAATAGCACATAGACTTATATGCTAAATTTATCTACGCATGTACGTAAAATAATCATTTAGCCCAAAACTCACCAAATCATAGGAGTAGGACTATAGGAGAAAAGTCATACTTGGCATTATTAATACAGGCATACAGCCAAGTCGTCCCCTTCTTGTCCACGCACGGGCTAGTGAAAAAGTTACCAACAATAGGGAAAAACATCGCTCAAGGTAAAATCTTATCCTTCAACTATGAAACAGCCAGCAGCTAGCATTCCAAACAAAAACTCTTTGGCTATTGTAATCATGAATGTTTTAACATTATACAAAGCATAATAATGTTCATCATTATTGAACTTCTTAAATTCTTCTTGTTCATTTATAAACAAACACTCTTTTTGAGTTTTTGGTAATAATTATAAAAAGAATCTCTAGCATAATTAATAAATAATGTCTCATATATGACCACACAAATATAATTTGTACGTAAACCGTCATTTTTTTTCATTTTCATTTACCCCAGTGCCGCAAAGGCTCCCACCTACGGTGGGGTAGGGGGGTTGGATGTACGCAGTCTTAACTCTGTACTAAAGCACATGGAGACTGTTTCCGGATGACCCATAGTGAAAATCGCGTCCAAAATTGCATGGGCTGACTGCTACTTCATAACAAAGAAGCGCAGACAGTTTAGTGAGCCATTTTGATTTATTCCATCATATTCCCAAGCAAAAAAATAATGAATCTTTGGCTCCATTGCAAATGATAGAAAAATTTAATCGCAAATAATGAATCTTTGTACGTAAACCGTGATCTAATAAATTTAATGCCTGTGACTGCGTCCAAACAATATCAAACTTTACATTGCAGTGACTACTTATAGTAACTTTACTCATTTTTTGTCCATAAATATTATTTTAATAATATTATAGGAAAAATAAATGTAAGATGAACATTGCGATTGAATTTCTGTATGTATGTTCCAACTTGAAAAAACATACTCCCTCCGTCCCAAGGAGAAGTTCCAACTTTCCTTTTTTGGTAGTCCCAACAAAAAGTTCCCATATCCCTAAATGGAAAGTTATCCTACATCAAAACAGTGTCAAACAGTGCAAAACAGTGTCAAACAGTGTCGAAACAGTGTCAAACAGTGTCGAAACAGTGCCAAACAGTAAAATTTACCCCTCAGTAACTTTATTTCCTAAATATGTGTGAAAGTCAACCCGGAAACTTCTCTCTGGGATGGAGGGAGTAATAACTTTCATGTTTTTTTATTGTCTTCTTTTTGTTGAATATACAATATTTTTTCCAAATTTTTAAATAATTTCTGTTTCAACATTTAATGCGTATAATGGCCATTTCTCTCCTTCAAACTTCAATGTACATATATTTGCATCTAAACATCAAGTTTTCTTTGATAAGTAAACTTCACTATTAAAATAATAAAACGGACTTTTATTATACTTTGTATTTTATAATGGCTAATTCGAATTGTATAATTAACATACATATGAGTCTGTATGATAACACTGAAATTGACTGAATTGACTAATTCTGATGAAATTTATGAAGTTTTGGCTGAAGTGACTAGAATGATTAATTTTGCTGAATTATGAAAAATTATATTTAAGATATATTTTATTAATAAATAGAGAAAAAGTAATATGAAAAGAGAGCTTAAATGATTCTATAAAGTAATTTCACCCTGAAAATTAACTCTGTGCTTATTTATTTTAATTATGAGATAATCCAGTGTGCAAAATAAAAAAATTACATTTGTTTTTGAAAGAATTGACCAATACGACTATAAATAAAAAAACAATGCCACAGAAGAGACTCACCTAAAAATGAGAGAAGTCATTCAATTGACTAATACGACTATCGTGAAAAATTAAAATGTCACTTGGAAAGTCGTAATTTATGGTCTAAATTTATCCTCTTGGCCGGGTCACCCCATTGTCTCATAATATCCAAACCTCATTTAAAAACACTCATCAGTCGGATTCAGCACCAATTATCTCGGAGCTTTAGAGCTTAGCTTCCTTAATTAATTAACTTCGATCTCTTAGTTAGTTAGCAAAGCTAATTTCATAATTAATCCGATATTTCCAAGCTAGATAATTAAGTCGTCCTCACACACATACGTAGTATATATATACAAATGGGAAGCGAAGCAGAAGGGACGCGATCGTCGCCGGCCGTGGCCCGCGCCGGCAGCGGCGAGGATCTGTTCGAGATCACGGCGGTGGAGGATATGAGCGCGACGAAGTCAACGGAGGAGACGGACGACGACTACGACTGCCGGAGCAGCTTGTTTTCGTACGACTTCCTGAGCGACTGCAACCGGTGCGTCGCCGGCACGTACGTGGTCGTGCGGAGTGAGCCGAAAAGTGAGGTGGACGCCAGCATGGACGCCCTGCTGTGGGCCCTCGCCAATGCCGTGCACCCTCTGGCGTCTTCCATGGTGTTTCTGGTTCACATATTCCCCGAGACCAAGTTCGTCCCTTCTCCATGTAAGTCATTAATGAATTACTCCAGGCAGTAAGATCTAGCTCCTACCTCTTCACTTTAATTATTCAGTTCATCATTACTCCATCTTTTATACGCCGCGTTCCAATTTTGCGTTGAAAACGTCAATTTGAAGATTTAAAGGTAGAACAATATATTTATAATATATTTATGAAGTTTTGATTGAAATGATTAGATTGATTGATTCTGCAAAAATATATTTAAAATACCTTTTATTAATAAATTAAAGAAAATTTTACGAAGTATGAAAACATAGCTAATATAATCCTTCACAGTAACTTCACTCAATATAATCAGAAAAATAACTTTAACCTTAACTTTTCTTATTATTATACAATTCAGCCCGCAAAATCAAAAGTTACGTGTTTGGTGAAAAAGTTGGATGATAAACTCGATAATCCGAAAAGCAAGGTAACCAAACGGGTACTTAAATTGGTCGAGTAATCTGAATTTGTTGATATTGATGAATATGTAAATGAATCTATTATGGGGGTGTTTGGATCTGATTCTCAAAACTGATTCTACTCCTTCAGGGAGCAAAAACAGAAGCTGGAATGTTTGGGTGAAATTTCAGAAGCACTTCTGGAGCTCTAATTTACTCTTAGAATCAGTTTTTTTAGAAGCTGGGAGGTACTAGCTTCTGAAAACTAATTCTGATTCTGCTTCTGCTTTTAAAAAAGAAGCAGAAGCAGAATCAGTTCCAAACACCCCTATGTGATGAAATAATAGCTATAGCGATCATTTAAAATAACTTAAGCTAGAAAAAAATATAAAAAAATAACTTAAGCTAGAAAAATAACTTTGATTCTATTTATTTTGTTTACTACGCAATTTAGCGTGCAAAATCAAATGTTACTTATTAATGGAAAATAGGAATTGTCAAGCGGGCTAGAATACTTGGATACTTGAAAAATAAATATAGTATTAAATGAAACATTCTACTAATAAGAATTTCTAATTCTAGGTATAACAACCTTGAATTTTCTAAAATAAAATGTACTTCCTCCGTTCCTTTTTAATTGTAACACTCAACATTTCACGTTTGCCAACGCACAAGTTTGACCATTAATATCTTTCATTCCTTATTAGTAAAAAATTTTAAAAAATCATATTTTGAAAATTTCTAATGAGAAGAATTTAACAATATTTTTTACAAATTTAATTTATAATGCATTAATTAATAAAATATAGTCAAAGTAGAATATGTGAATAGTGGAAAAAATCCAATGTTGCAATTAAAAGAGAACGGAGATAGTATATATGTACCTACATGCGTACGTACGGCGCTTAATTTATGTAGAATGGTTAGGGAACATATATAAAAGATAAAGTTGAAACAAATCTATCATTGACTTTATGATGACTTGCTTATTAGAAATTAAAAAAGAAAAAAAAAACTCCTTACGTATGACTGTATGAGAGAACATAATTAAAGAGAATGAATGTTCTCTGTAATTTAGAGTTGTATCAATATAATTACAAATTGTGCTCAATTGTTCCAAAAGAAAGGTAAGGTTTATTCGCTTATATGTAATTAAATTTGGGTGACAACTCCGGTACCCTTCTAAAAAATGGGGGTACCGTGCCTACCATTCATTTGATTGGACCACATCACTTTATTATTTTTAATTTAGATTTAAATAATTCAACTGCTACATTTCCATTGGTCCATGTGGACAAAGGTATGGTACCTTATGGGTACCATAAAATCTACCTTAAATTTGTTCCAATTTGACCATTTAATTTCCGAAAAATGCTAAATGTACCCCAATTGGTACCCCCAATTTGTACCCCCACCCTATTTTTGTGGCTCACAAAAACACATCATTAAAATGAGGCAATTCATTTATTGAGGTAGGCTTTTGTGAGCCACAAAAATTGGTTGAGCTACAAATTGGGGGTACCAATTGAGATACCTATAGCAGGGTGGTTAATTTCCCGGCTCCATTCTCTCAAGTATATCTAAATTCCTCATTTCTGGGATGCGGTTTGGATACATGATTTTGTACTGAGGTTTTTGCTAATTAATGACATAAAAGGACATGATATGGTTCAGCTTCTGCCAACATTCCAACAACACTATATGGAAATGCTTCATTATATTTCGTACATTAATACATTATATTTTAATTATCTTACTATACATTGTATAGTATGACAATGATGGAAACAACATAATAAGTTAGAGAGACTCCAAAGTAGAAAAAACATATCACATAAGTATATATATCAACATATGTATTAGTGTATGTGATAGAGTATATGGGCCTAGACCCCATGGCCCACATACTCAACGGCCCAAAAGACACCAGCGGGACACCCGCATCGGCCAAAGGCACGTGACGCCCAAAAGAGAAGATATCGCCTGATTTCTATGGGCCGCATCGTCCATGGACCGCACCGTCCATGGACCGCATCGTCCATGGATCGCATCGTCCATGGACCGCTTCGTCCGGACTTCGTCCGGGCAGAATGTATTTTCCCATTTTTTGTACTAAGTGTTGTACTCAGCCCATTAGTGGCCTTATTCGCCCAAAGAAGGCATGATTATTGTAATGGGCCTCCTAAGCCCGAGGCTAGGGGCCCAAATCCACATTTTTACCTATAAATAGACCCCAAGGGGCTAATTATAGGGGATTCCAAGTTGAGAAATATAATTACTCACTTTCTCTCTCTAGCTCTCACTTCTCTCTAGAATTAATACTCTATCATTTGGTGCTTTCATTGAGAGCCTAGAACAGATCAAGTGAGTACCCCTCGTCGCTACTAGACGCAACAGAATGACAAGGACTAGGTCAAAGAACACCGGTAGGAATGCCCCACTGAACCAGGAAGGGCAGGGAAACGTTGCTGACAACGTCCCCAATGATCCTATCATCCAGGATGAGGACGCCCAGGAAGTCGCGCACGCAGCAGCCGACCTTTGCGTCCAACTCAACAAGACTGCTCCCGACGCCCGAATCGGGCTCGAGGACAGGCGCAACGCTGATCGCGCTTCGGGCCAGCAGGCCTCTAACCCTGCTGCTCCCCAGATCAACCCGGCCACACTATCGGCCATCGTCGCAAGTATTCTCCAGGACCCCAACGTCGTCAGCGCCCTCGTCGCAAAGACAGGGGAGAACAACACTCCCGTGACTGGGGAAGTCGCGACGGTGCCACCACCCCCGCCTCGGCCACAAGGCGTCACCTTCTTCGGCAACAACGAAGATGTCCTCGCCGTGGACACCCATTCCCATACTGCCTCTCCTACCCGGGATACACCGGCCAAACCTCGCGGTAAAATCTCGGCCTTCAACAGGCTGGGTGACATCGCGAGCCGTCTGGTACCTACGGGGAGGGTGGCGGATCGGTTGGGTGACCACGAGCCAGGGTCGCCAAAGGAAAGCTTCGGGTCCGTTTCCCGGACAACGGATCGGCCCCGACAAGACAAAGGAAAGGGAAAACTGAATGATGATGATGCGCGTCATCAGATCAACCTGGCCCATGCGGCCCAGATCCAGACACCGCTGGGTGGCGCTGCGGCCAACACGGACCCAAGGGACGAGATCATCGCCCGCCTGGAAAAGCGCCTCGCGGATATGGAGGCCCGGGAGGCCGCAGGGCGCGCAGCGGCTCATACATCCCAGCATCCCAACTACGATGCACTCCTGCACAAAGTCAGTGCCTTGGAGAGGGAGCTGGCTGACCGACGCGACGAGCCCGTCATCCAAATCCGGACCCGGACCCCCTTCTCCGCAAGGGTGCTCTCCGCTCCCATCCCAGAGAAGTACAAGGGGAATCCGATCAAGCCGTATGACGGCCGCACTGATCCTCAGGAGCATTTCACCCGCTATCAGAACAACATGATGATGACCAACGCTTCAGAGGAATACATGTGCCGCTGGTTCCTTTCCACCTTGGAGGGACCAGCGTACGATTGGTTCAACAACCTTCCGGAGGGGAGCATCGACTCGTGGCAGGACCTTGCTCAACGCTTCCTCACTCACTTTGCCGGGAGGAAACGTGCGAAGAAGCATTTCGCTCATCTCCTGACCATAAAACAATAGCCGGAGGAGACACTCCGAGCCTTCCTCGATCGCTGGACGAGGGAGGCGGACGAATGCGAGGGAGCCGATGAACGCACCCTCCTGGCCTTCCTCCGCGGAGCACTCCGGCCGAGCCACTTCGCCCGGAGCCTGTTCACGGAGCCTCCGCGGTCATACCTCGCGGCGCTCCGACGCGGAGATAGGCACGCTGATGCCGACGAGCTCCTGAACCAGAAGAAGGGGGGAGAAGCAACAAAAGAAGGACTCCTCGTCCAACCCCCACCACCCGCCGGCCAACAAGGGACAGCACCAGCCAAAGAAGGCACACCAGGAGCAAGGCGGACAGCGGAGAGAAGACCGCTCATGGCGCCCAAAGTTGGAAGCACAGCGCATCCCCCTCACCCACCCGGTGAGCGTCGTCCTCGACCACGCCGAGGCGCAGGGCCTCATTGTGAAGGACCCCAGGTCAGAGGAGGAGATATTTGCGGTCCACAAGGGAGGGACGTACTGCAAGTACCACCGCCAGACATCCCACAAGACCGACGATTGCACCACCTTGAAAAGGCACATCGACGGCCTCATCCGACAGGGGGAACTTTCCCAATTTGTCAAAGGTACCCCCAAGAGTAACACTTGGGTTAACCCTGGCAAAAGGGGGGAAGGATCCTCCGGGAAAAAGAGGGAGATCGGTACCCTCAGTGAAGATGAGGACGAAGAGGAGCCCCGCCAGAAGAAGCATCACATTCACATCATCGTCGGCGGGAACACAGGGGGGGACTCGGCTACCCAACGGAAAAAATGGGCTCAGTCCCTATACGTTGGTGAGGTGTCCCACGCCCCCCCCTCAGCCGAAGCGACGGCACATGGAGGCCATCACCTTCACCGATAAAGACCTACCCTGCGGCCCCTTGCCCCACAGGGACGCCCTCGTCATCAAATGCGAGATTGGAAACAACATC